GTAATTTACTATTTTTCGAGAGAATTCCAATCGGGTTTTCACTGATTCCGTGTTAATTATGCTTTAGATTCTCCTTTAGCAACCAGTTCTGGTGGTGGATAACTTAAGCACCAGAATTCACGAGAGTGGAGCCTTGCTCTGATAATGCAAGGGATCTGTCCTTCGCCGATAGAGCAGGAAATTGCTTTTACTTTTAAGTTAAAGCAAGCTTTTCTTCTTTTCCTGGTCACTATAATACATTAATCGGCTAAGCTAACACTTTTACAGTAAAGTAAGTTCCCTCTTAAATGGTGTAGCTGGTGTCTTAATTAAGCTATGCTTTTTTCCTATTGTAAGTGTTGATTCTTGTTTTACTTGTTTGCTCTACGAAACTCGAGAAAAGTAAAATAAATGTCTGGTATTCTGAAATAATTGTGCTCCGTTGATAAAGTGCGATCAAAGTTGAGTATAACAATACGTAAAAGTATTATTCGCTGTTGATGAAAGACTTCAAATTTTTCTTTTCCACAATCATAGTTCTCGAAGGATTTTTGCGAGACAATATAATGAAAGAGACAATTTATAACTCATTCTGATTTTTCACTTGCTTGGTAAAGAGAATGCTGAATATGCTCTGGCCTATTACTATCTTACTCCTTCAATAGTGTGATTCTTCTCCTGATATATACCCTGTTTTCGGCGGAGCCTTAAGTATATTCATCGGTTAGGTTGAAAAGAGAGTAGATTCCTTGTGTGACAACATTCCTGCTGGATCAAATATGACTTTCAGAAAGCTGGATCTAGTGCTTACATTTGAGTATATATCGAAGGTAGAAATAATTAGAAATAATTAGCACTTCTTTTATAATCAATCGTTTCACATTTTTGCAAATTCTAAAAAAAAATCATGACTGAAAATATGAATGCAAAACAACTAAAGGATACACCAATAAATAGGGCTCAGCATATATAACAACAAAAATTTATTCTTTTAATATTAATAAGAAAATTTTAATTCCAAAACTAAGGAAAAGCAAAATAACGAGACCTAATAATAATGACTAAATAGCCAAATTAAGTAGCTTCAACCAGTTACTCTTGTATCTTATTATAACTAATACATTCTTTCTACAAATCCTCTACCAGGAAACAGTTTGCTTTCCTGCCACCGGCACAAACGTGGTCCTTGTCGTGCTGCTATCCGCACACTTAACGAGGGTTCAGCCGGTCTGTTGCATTGTACCTGTCATGGCAGCCGAGATCGACTACAACATGAGCTACAGCTTTGCAATTTGCTCTGGCAGAACCTCAACAGGCACCCTTGCCTATCAGAGACCAGCTCGAGCTCGACTGAGGAGTCTGTCGAACGAGTCAATGAGGTAGATACTGCAATGGCCAGAGGCGAGTTCATTTCAGGATTGACCGGAAGTGGTAGGACAGAAAATATCGGCGAATCAAGTAGAGATAAAGGTGAAATGGTGACAACAGTATTGCCGGGATCACCAAGCCACTATTCTCTACAGCCAGATAAAATGGAAGATGGTATCGAAGGCTGGTCACAAGAGGTGGTAGCAGATAATGATAATCAGTCGGACGCTGAGCTGAATAGACGAGCTTCAAAGGGTCCAGGGGGATGGGGTGCTGTAAATACATATAGACATACGGATTCACGCGGAACAGCGCCTCTTGGGGCACCTCAACTTCACACAAATCGACCATCAACTTCAAAGGAACCGACTGG